TCTACGCGGCGTGTACCAGCCCATGTGTTTTGACCTAACATCGTCTTTCCTCCGCCACCTTCTTGAGGTACTAAACGAGGAGAGTTTCCCACAGTTGACTCGAGTCGACTTGAAGGGTTTCCGGATCATACGAACTGGCGTTGCGGGACGTCCTGTGGATCGGAGCACCGACTTGACTTGGCAGTATATCCGGGACTGTCCCTTTGTTGACGAAGACTTCACCTACACGGACAACACCGACTGTCGCCATGCATTCTCCGGGTATGACATCTACCACTCATTGGAAGAGCTAGATGAACTCGAACAGAGCTTGAATTTCCTCTAGCGTATGCAGTTTCTGCTTATTATATGTTAGCTGCTCCGTTTCTCATAATCTTACGGGGAGGGTTGCTGCCTAGTCTAATGTGCAATTAAAGTGACCATCTAGGATTTCCTTTGTGTATATATACTTCATAATGAAGCGCAGTAGCCCAGGTAGTTTGGGAAAGCGGCAAGGGAGTCCCTACATTCTAACACGCAACATGTCGGGCATCAATATCCTCAGATGGCTTTTCATTGGTTAAATCGCCCAACACCTGACTATCTCAACACGCGTCATAATTGGACCTACCAAAGTTCTTTGCAGATGGGTGTCAGAGGCTTTCGGCATTGATTGGCTGGAACTACCAAATTCCTATTGAGCGTAGTATCAATGCTACTTACTGCCTAAGAATACCAATAGTACTCGGGACGTAAGCTGACGAACGAAGAAGACGATTTGAAATTTTTAAAAGCCTCACCCCCTCATATAATATTGCAAACAGAGAAAAAATTCATTTACCATACTTCCATCAGTTTTTCCTCTCATTCTTTTGTAGCGAAGCGGGCTCGCTCTCCACGGCAATCTACCAGCCTCGACTGTAAGGGCACTGTACAGGTACAGAGCATTCCCTACAATGATTGATTTTCTTAAAAGGGTTCGTATCTGATCGCTAAATTACATATGATATCGCCTATTAGCAATGACCCAGTACTTACTGAAGAAACAGTTGGTCGGTGCTCTGAATGCAATCGGCTTCATTCTTGGCCTCCACCTCACTACTCTCCAAGATGACCTCAGGAGGAGTTTTCTCCAAGCGCGGCCGCGACGTAATTGGAAAACACAATTCGAAGATACGTGGCACACCAGAGTCGTGGCCCTCATTGTGTTGACCACTGGAGCCTTGGCCATTGTGACCATTCTGGCAAGGATTATCACCATCTGGGCCATTATGCTGCTCAGCTCTCGCGGGAAAACCTAGGTCATATTCTGTTAGGCATGAGTGTTGTATTGGCGGTATAAACCCTAATATACAAACTTCCGCCTCTACGGCAGATGCACGAATACGATGGGTCATTGGTTCTGTTCACAAACACCATTAAACAATTCGTTCAATACGGACATGACTGGAGCTCCTCATCAAGACAGCCATAACTGCTTACTGAAATCAGCGTAATCGATGACGATGTGCATTTTCCGGCGCACACAGATCATTTGAAGCCTCGTTTGTAAGAAAATCCAAACTGTCGACCGGTCATTTTTCCTTCATCAGCTAGTGGGCTGGATCCTGCTGCTGTTATGTTGCGAGGAGATCATTACGACATGCTGGAAGCTCCGGAGAATCTGCTCCGAAGAAGAAGCTGCGTCGATGCTTCGCCCAGCAACAACATTGCAACTACATATTTAAAGGCTCAAAAATGGTCTGGATTGATTATTGATGATTTATAAAACAATATTCAATTGAATTCAATGCACTAAAATCTTCTTAGCTGGGATTAAAAGGAATGTCACAGGCAGGTTCGAACTTCCGACCTTCGGGAAGCCCCACTTTTCAAAATCATGGGACGCAGAAGTACCTTTATGGAACCAATTGAGCAGCCACAGAGCTGAACAGAGACAAAGGCAGGCACCACCAGCTCGAAGCATCCATACCAGATAATTTGCTACATGCATGCGACGAAACATCTGATGATACGAACAAATATCCAGACCATTGATGGTGCTCCCTCCCAATTCTCTCAATTTTTTTCAGATGAAAGATGCTGTCAGACAGGCACTCTGGCAGACAACACACAATATTGGAGATCAAAGCAGAGAGCTGGCGACAGGTATTCACGCGAACAGGACCATTGAACAAGCCAAGTGAATGCATCGCAAGCACTCATCCCGTTTCCGTCTCACCTCAAACCTCCAAAGACAAAAAGAAAATCATCCGTCATGGTCGTGGCTCATCTGCACACGACTTGTCTACACTACCAAGATTAACAATTGAACCAAAAAGAAATGTCAAAAAGATGATTCAAATTAATGAAGGGGGGGTTCCAAAGATTCAACGCCGGGGGACGCGCTGGGATTACAACCGGTGATAAAGTGTGGCCGATGCATCCTCAAGAGCTGAACCAGGTCTTGACTTGCATATGCCATCGGAGTCATGAGCGCGCGGCTGGCTGTGACCGTTCGCACACTCAATCACCGATAGACCATATGCTGGTCCCCCGGACGTGTTGACTACTGCGCCTTTTTTTGGGGGTATAAAGCTATGAGCTGTTCGAGCTCAGATTGGGGGGGGGGCCGAAGAAAATTTTCCTCGTCGATGCTCGTGGGCGGTTGGTGAGCAGGCCACCGCGCCGACAGTGGCCACGGCCAGCGTATGCGCTCAGTGCAGTGGGATTTCCCTATTCTGCAGGCAGTGAGGCCATCTCTAAGATGCTAGCCGCTGCAAATGAAGCATCGCACCGCACCACCGACGATGATGCTCGAGCACTTCCGAACCTGCATTCACTCGTTCATCCACATCAACTTTGATGATACATGGCGAGCAAATGAATGCTTTCATTGAAGCAACATTTTTTAATCATCTTTATCGCAAGGTCATTTGAGGCAAATGCGACAGCAGCGGTGCATGCCAAAGCAGAAGCGGTGAATGTGAAGCTGACTTGTGGTGGTGATGCACGAATGTAGTCGAAATAGTGGTGGGAGGAGGCGCCCTTAAATAGCCGATCGCAAGCGGAGTCCCCACAAAGTTCATACCAGTCCACCAATAGCTGTTCTTTGGGTATCATCAGGTAATAACCCATCGTGAGGGTGAGGCAAATTAATAGCGAACATTGCGGGAGTCAAATGGTAACATATTCTAGTCTCAACGACTTATTTTCAATTTATTTCACTTCAGCGTATGTATTCACACATCGCCATCCACGTTATTTTGGTGTTGTGCGGAGAGATCCACAACACACGCTCCCTTTCCCACATACCCTAGACCACTTCGATGCCACCGGTAATTCCATTAAATCCATTGCCTTCAAGACATTCTGTCTCGCGTGCATTGGGCGCGATTATTGATGCACATCATTTAACTTCTAAATTTATTTTACTTGGTTGGTGATTTATTATGAAGAAGAACAAAGCTCCGTGTTTATTCAAGTATCAATCTTAGTCTCAGCGCAGTTTGCCAGCTGATGCAGCGCACAAGCCAATGCACAAACAATGAATGTCGGACAGCGAAGCAGCCCGCCTCTGCCGCCAAGTAAAATTTAGAACTTAGCAGAGATGTCGCTCGATAAGAATTCGGGCTCAAATGAAACCTGTATTTCTTTACTGATAGTCTAATTCTCGGCTGTAATACATCAAATAAAGACGCAAAAGTGTTGGCTCTGACTTATGTCGCGTCAACTCTAGGGTAGGCTACTTACGCGCATGCCCCCACTAGCAATCTGCCCAGCAACCATTTTTGCAGCTGATGCTCAGACCACGTTGGACTGATCGAAGGTGGAAGACGACGCCTCACGACCAGGGGGCAATTGACGCGACAAACCTGGGCCTGCTAAATGGCTTGCTCGGGAAATGGAGTACGGATACTCTTATGAGGTGGAGGACGAGCCGCCCGCCAAACCGCCGGCGGAGGACGTGGCTCTGGGGCTGCGCATCGCCATTCTGACGCGCCTCCAGCACTACCGCCAGCTCTGGCTTGGCACAACACATCGCCCACCCCGGACCGGTACGCCCATGGCAACTCACCTGGCCGCAAGCCATCTCATATGACTGACTTGGTGATATCTAGGTTCGCCTCCTGATACTTCCCGTGCGCAGCTTCAGATGATCCAGATCGCGCTGCTGCAGGATATCCGGAACCTCGCCCGGTTCACGGCGCGCCTGGAGAAGAAGCTCGACCGCAAGAAATGGATAAAATGGATTGTCAATCCATTATTGTAAGCCCGAATGTCTTTGATCCACGATATATTCTACCAGTTGAGCTAATAAAACCGCGTCGTTTTCCCCCAGACCAATACTTATGCAATACCTCTATCTGCAGCTGTATAAACTGCCTTGGTTCAGCGCCTTCACACCCCTGCGCGAGAGGAATGATCGTGGCCAATACCGGCCCGCCTACCTGACCGTGCTGTCGCTCGTACCTTGGTTCGCTGGCCCCGCCGCCCTCTGGAGGCTGTACACCTACGAGGAGCAGGTCGACAAGACGGCGCGTCTGCAGGAGACGCTGGAGAACATGGAGGAAGAGGTCGATCGCGGCTTACCGGTCCGTGATATCGGGTTTTTGGAGATGTCGAAGTGGGAGGATATCAGGTGGCACCCTGAGTTGTTTCCCCTCTAGTCCGCCTTGGACACGGGAATCTGTAAATGTTAGTTCTTGATTTCTCGCGTGGGATAGATGTGTGTTTGTTTTTGGGATAGCATTACGAGGCCTAGTTGTGTCTTGTATTTTTTTCCTGTATACGAAATGAGACCTAAAAGTCTGAGGAATTGTCTCAGGACATTGAAAGAAGCTTAAATTACTGGCTCAACTCGAAACGAATGCTTGCGAATGCCTTCTCAACCATACATAAGCCAAATTATTGCAGCAATTCACAAAGAGATCCATCCCATGTTTAGATTGTAAGTCTTTACTCTAACAAGGTAAACATCAAACAGTGCAACGTCCGCGCTTGAACTCGGCTCGGAGCACTTGAGTAGGTAGGACCACTCCCTACATACGGGGACTGACTGGAGACACAGAAGGTTTATGCTCTAAGATGGCATTACCGTCCGAACCAGGAAGTTCTGTGACATCTGCCGAGAGTTGCTGATCAGTACTCCCAGGCACAGGCAGCGACCCCCAATGCGAGTCGTTCAACGGCGGCGTGGTAACGGTGCCCACACTGCCGCCGCCAAAGTAGGACGAGTAGTGAGACTGCCCGGAATGGAAGTAGCGATCCTGGTACATGTGCTGCGACTGCTGCTTTTGCAGCTCATCCTGCTGCATCTGGTTCATCTGCTGGGCCTCCTGCGTCACCTGCGCCTGGTGCCTCTCCTCCCGGCGTCGCAGGACCCTCTTCCCTAGCTGCCACCAGGCGAAGAGCATGATGGCCAGGGCCACGGCACCGCCAATGGCGATGCCGACGATAGCCCCTGTGCTGAGTCTCGATGGAGCCGCGCCGCCAACGTCGCGGGACGGCTGGCGGTTTGGTGATACCCAGGTAAGACTGAATAGGTTGGTGAGCGGCCTATTCTCTGCGCTGAAGCCATCCTTGGGCGCTTTGATTACCGCGCCACCATTCTTGTCACCTCCAATGGCACTGTAGACCAGCGAGGGAACGACATTGCTGGAGGTGTCTTTGTTCTGGAACCCCCACCACTGCGGATTATTACCCGTGTTGTTCGCCGTCCCTGCCCAAAAGCCGTGCACTCCCCACGCGGGCTCGCACTCAACGTTACTCTCGTTTGGGTAGTTGCCACCGATAATGAACATGTTTGACAGGTTATTGACCATGTTACATGTGGAGCCGAAGCGCCCCCTCGAGCCTGTACGGTTGGCCGGGGCGATGGTAATGTCGGGGTCGGCTTTGAACCACTTGAAATAGGGCATTGAGAGAACGTAGACATCGCTGTACGCTGAAGCGTTCGTCACAGGGGGGTATTCGGCCTTTCCTCCCCAGAGATAACTGTTGAAATTGGTTAGCATATGTGTGTCCTAGCGATTAGAGTTATACTCACATGTTGTAGCTTGAATTATCGGGTGCCCAGGCGACGTCGGCGCAGAACTGTCCTCGATTTTGAGGAACTTGCCCTTCCGCCTTCTGTTTGTACCATACCCCCATCGTAGCATCGTACAGGAATATCTCATCCAAGGGCTGCGGGGAGGTTTTGTTATCGCCGTCACCGACAATGCCTCCCATGTACACCAACACGCCTGCCCAGTCGCCAGTCGGTATCCATACCATCCCCCCTTCGGCTCTCGGGCGGTCGTCAATGCCTTTCAGCGCCTTGAACGTGTTGTTGTCGTAGCTGTACTCGTAAAAGTCCGAGACCATTGCTGCGTCTTTGGGTCCCCCATCCATCGACTTGTCGCTGGCCCAGCCTCCGTAGTAGTAACCCTTGCCAGTCTGCGATACGCCAACACCGGCACCGAGGGCGGTGACGTTGAGCTTAATATTAGAGGGACCAAAGTCATCCCACCGGTCGTTGATGATGTCATAGCCTGTGAGGGTGAAGGCGTTGGCGCGCTGTGGCGATATCCAGTTACCGCCGTAGAGATAGAACCGCTTGTTGATGCTGTCGGGCCATAAGATTCCGCTGGCGACGGTGGGCATACTAAATGGGTGGGCGAAAGGTCAGCATTTCAGAACATGATTCCGGGTGTGGCTCGACTAACGTCTTGTTTTTGTCCAGGTTTATGTGAAGCTGGGGGTTGAGTAGGCCATCTGTTCCAAAGTTGTTGAGGTCATGATACCCGAGCCAGATATCTCCAGGGGAAAATTAGCAACTTCCCAGTGGTCAATGGTGGTCTGGTCGATCGACTCACTAGGTTCGTTCGCTGTCGCTACGTAGGCTTTATCGTCCTTCTTGTAATTGACGTATCCGCCGTCAATGTATAGTCGGTCGTCAATCACGGTCGACTGGTGGGAGAATCTCCGGCAAAAGTTGTTCTGCGGTTCCTGGGAGACAGCAAGGACAGTTTGGAGAGCGAGGAGCAAGAAAAGCAGAAGCAGGGCCTGGGCCTGGCCCGGCAGACGAGGCTGAAGGCAGATTACCGGCAACATTATCCCCAGTGTCGGTTGATCTGTTGGATGAATGGTATCTCCAGATTGGGTGAAAGAGGAGGGATACTGGTCCAGCTACTGGTTTGTGGGGGAGACAGACATTTTGAGGGAATGCCTCGCAGCCTTACTGGGCACGGTCCAGACTCCGAGAAGTCTCTTGCTTGCAGGAACGCCACTGCTCATCACTTCCGCAATGGCGAGTATCCAGCCAATTATGGGGGGAGCCTCCAAGAAATATTCCAATAGTGCTGGAGAGCTGAGCTTGAGATGCATCATGGATGCATGCCAAGACAGCCACCTTATCTCATAAGCTGACAGGCGCAAGAAAGGATTGCCTCCATGTCCCGAGACGGTGTCCCTTCTTGCCAGCGTCAATGTAGGCGATTTGATTCTTATGGGAGAAATCCCGGTCGCTCGACCCGTGTAGTCAAAGGGTCTTATCTCATCCTTTCATCCATCTGGGGAACAAACATAGATTGGGGGTGTCACAAAATTGTATCGAAGTCTATCAACCCCGTCTGACATGTCTTTGGGCAGCCTCTCTTACCGAAGCAAAGGATGCAGTAAAGGTGGGTGTCTGAAACTGCATTTTCGTGGATTGGAGGGTCGTCAGCAAAGAAAGGGCCGCACAACTGAATGTTCCTTTGATTAATGCCAGCATCGTAAAGGTTGCATTGCCATCACCGTTTGAATCCAGCCCCATATAATAGACACTGGCCGCTTCTTGGGAGACCCGGGCCTCAATCCGACACTCAAAGATCTCAAATCCGCTTGGTTGCCAAAGGTTGCAATTTCCACCCCGAAAGACGGCGCAGTGCTATTTCCACGGACCGCTCAGGCCAGTGGCTAGAGCCCAGTGGCTGCAGGAAGCTGAAAGGGCTGAAGGAGGTGCTGCAGCGGTCTCAGCGACCGTGCCCAATGAGATGGTGCCGACGGGGCTGAGATTGTGAGTTTTGCTTTTCTGGTGAGATGCACTAACTCACAGCTTCGAGTGACTGTGAGAATTGACGAAGCCACCATGTGATCTTGTTGTCTCAGAATACGAGACACCGCAGCTCCAGCAACAATAATGCAAGTTGCATAAGTTGAATGATGGAAGGGCCGGTCCGCTTTTACCCCGATTTTCCGATCGCGTTAAGTGGATGACATTTTACGGGTCTGGCCGGGCCAACACCCAATCAAAGAGCAATTGACTTTTATTAGTGCTGACAGCGAAGGGGCAAAATATTGCACAGCAATTTAAACGCGCCCAAAGCAGTTGCAGACCTATATCGTCCTACTGTATAGGGTGGCTTAACTGCACAGCAATCTTAGCCTCCTGAGTAGGTAGGTAGGCAATTGCAAGTGAGATAATGGGCCCTCCTTGTCGCAGGCGAGCTCTCAAAGTGTCACTACCCATCTCGTATGCGAAGATCACAGTCTGGCGCCTCAAATATTCTCTGCACATTTGTGTATCGTTGGCTGCTCATGCTCGAACAGTGACTATCTACCACTCCAGCCCTCTATTATACTGCACTATCTGACTTTTGTGTGTCTTCCTCTCTTGTATTTGGAGGGATACGGTTGTTGCACTGGGGTTAGGGCTATTGAAAGGGAGTGATCTGAGTCTTGAATTTCGCAGGACCTGTTTACAAAGGTGGTGTTGCCAGTAAGTTCGCTTGTAAAAATGAATCCATGCATGTTCTTTGCATATCTGGGTACCTACCCATTTCGCGCTCGCCCAAAATTCCAGTTGCTCTCATTAGCCAAACCCCGTACCGCTTTCCGTCCCAACGGAGAGAAGCTTCAAGGCCCAACACTCCAAGTGAGCACGAAATCTTTCACATACATGAGACGACGCGCTGCCCAACAGGCGGAGCAGCGACAGCTTAATTTTCCAATGCGGTTGAGGCCAATTGTTAGAACCTGGTCGGCGGATTCTTCTAATTTCGATGGGCTGCCTTCATTTAGAGATTTGATAGATTGAGCTAACGAACACATAGAATCTATTGTCACTGGTTCCTTGGTCCGTCGCACATTTATCTCATTAATAATGTCTGAGAGATTGCCGTCACTCGCAGTATCAGATAAGTCGAAATGTTTCAACCTTCAGAGCCCCCTCATCTAATGCTGTCTTGACAGACTCCTCCGATATCCCGAAAGTTGAACAAGGTCCGACAAATTTATATCGGTCTCCGCATTTTCGGAGAAGCACGAGGTCACTATATCCATCGACGGCACAGACTATGTCGCCTTCAGAGCAGTGTTGCGGCCCCATGCCCAATAGCTCCTTTCCCGTTTCAAATAGTTTGACGTGATGGTTTCGGTCTAAGATGAGGATCAATCGACATGTGGTTTCAACCATCCTGTCCTTGAGAGCCTGAACGGGGTCTGTGAAGCTCAGCGCTGGCGAGACGTGGGCCATCATTGATGGGTTACTAATTGAGCCATCCATTATAATGCCAATGGATATGCCTCCCTCTTCTTCCGTAGTATATTGAAGAGGGTTGTTGCCCCATTTCTCGATATCTTGTGGTGGCTTAAGATCAAGAAATCTCAAAAAATCCCGAAGAAGGAGCAAGTTTGATGTGTCCCGGGTAAATTTTGGCATTCTCGCCACCGCGCTGAACAGAGCCCAAGTGCTTGGTATGTTGTTGTACATTGGTTTCCTTTGCAGGTATTCCATGGCCCATGGGTGGCCGTCTCCTCCTTTTTGGAGATTTTCTATGGTTGGTGGTGATTGCATGATGCGCTTCACATTCTGAAGGCGAACGCCAGAAATGGACAGCTCGAGACCAGATATGCTTGGGAATGGAATACCTGGCGCCATTGAACTTAGATGAAAGGTACTTCTAAACATGAGTGGTGGGTCACCGGTTGATCTCGCAGGGTAATTTGGCACCCAGGAGGGGATGTCCAATTCTGCAGTGTCAAAGACACCAATGCCAGCGTCTCGGAGGAAAAAGATATCTCGTCTTGGTAGCTGTTGGAGAACTTGTAGTACGGCACGACAATAGTCTGCGTAAACATCTTTGAGTTGCTTGCTTTCACTATAATCAATCTGGATGTCAAGGCAGCTAATTCCCAAGAGGCCGTAGATATGATCTTTGGGATCCGTAGCCTGAAGAACGCCGCCGAGTTGCGACTGTTTCAAATGCTCCCACATCATCTGATTTGTACCGGGATTATGTGACGGCATCCCTTGAAATATTTGCTTGGTTGAGCCTAGACGCCCAATTACCTTCAATCCATTGAAAGCTGTCCCCTCAGGGGGTTTGAAAAGCAACCAGACGTGGTTTGGAACAAAGTCGGGTTTAGCCACATGATGCTCGGCGATCAATTCGCAGAGGACTCCAAATCCAACGCATGCTTGCAGAAGCGTATTGGCCTCTATCATGGTCGTGGGAGTTACGTAAAACATGGTTGTTGCCAAAAGGTTCTCTTGCAAAATCCACACTCGCTTCCAGTACGGTAAGCTCCCTAGGACGCGTAGAGCCCTCCATCTTCTTTCACATCCGGGAGCCACGGTCAGAGAGGGATAATTTTTGAGCCACTCTAGCTGTAACAACTTTTGCTCGTCATCCCAAACGCTTGCAAGAGCGCCATGTATGAGGCCTATTGTCAGAGTTGCAATTGCTAGGTCCTCACTATGCTGATCCCCCAGCCAGCCGAGGACTAGCTTGGCTTTTGAATAGATCTGAGGCATGAGCGTGACCTGTTCACTTCGCTCCAGGGAATCTGCTTGATTGATGCAGATGGCGTCTGCCCATATTCTGAAAGAAGCCGGGTCTCCATCGGAAAACAGGCATTTCCAGTACTTGCGGGCATGTCTTAGGGCTCCGGCTAGGTTTCTTGTTATCGCGATCCTCCTATCATTGACTGTGATCTCTGTCATGGCATTGCGGTCGCCCCAGACATAGGACAAGGCTGCGTAACGCGACGAGCTATCGAGAGTGACAGTATGTAATTTGCATGATACATGGCTGTTATTGCTGTCGTCTATGATCTCGAGAACTCGGATCTCAGGTTTAGAAACGTCTAATCTGGCTGGGTACAAGTCGTGGAATGCCATCGCGACCTATTTCTGGCAGCATCCTATAGCAAATGAGGATTGATTCTTATCGAGCGATCGAGACAAAGAAAAGGGAGGTAAGATATTGATATGCGGTGACGCAGAGGGAACTACAATGCAGTCACGGATAATCATGCACATATTCCCGCAAAATATGTAAATCAAGAGACGGGGCTATCGAGCCTGGTGCCATTGAGGTTTTTCTAATCAACCATTGTGGCGGAGCATCGTCCAGGCTTTCAGCTGTGGGGTGGCAGACTCATAGGCAGATTCCCAGATCGGGAACAGAAGTCACTTGATATCCGTATTCAATTTTTCCTCCTAGTTCTATGTTAGTAGATCTACTTTCCATTAATCACTGGCCGTTTATCGCTGTTGAGTTTGGGACAAGTATAAATTCCATTCTTCTGTGCCAAGACTGAGGCATCTATAGCTGCTCACAAATAACTACCTAATTTTTTTGTGCTTTTTTTTTCTTCCGTAGGATACCCCAACCAAACTACTTATCACAAGAATGTTTATCCCAAACCTAGTACTTAATCCTGAAAATTGTTTGCTGCTTCCACATTCTAGCGGCATATCAACGCTCCATGTTGATAGAAGCTCCCTTTATCACTGATCTGTTGGTCCAATCATAAATTTAGTCCTCCGCGGGTTTGTTCATTCTGGCTAGAGATGGCTGATCAAACTGCGAGGCAAAGGTCTTCATGTCTTTCATCATGCCTAAATCAGATGACGGACTGGCCACCTTCATGGCACGGATGAAGTGTTTCATTTCTAGGCAGATAGGCATATCCATTGGCGCAGAGCTTTGGATCACATCTTGTAGCGCGGCTGAAGCCGCCTGGTGGCAGACAAACTCAATATCCGAACCTGTGAATCGGGATGAGCGAGCCGCGAGGGCTTCAAGTTCCACGTCTCTGCCAAGTTTCTCTTCCCGCAAGCATATGCGGAAGATATTTTGCCGTCCGCTTCGCGTGGGGAAACCTATGAATATCTTATTTGGCACGCGTCGAAGCACGGCCGTATCGACATTGTTAGGGAAGTTGGTCGCCAGTATAAGGAGAGGGCTTTTGGGGTCATTAGCGAACCCGCCAACCTCGTTCAAGAACGAGTTGGTGACATCCTGTCTCCAAGGAGCCCTGTCGCCGTCAGCACCTCTCTGCCGAAAAAAGCCGTCTGCATCGTCGAAAAACACAACGGCGGGGGAGCGAGAGCGAGCGAACTTGAAGAGACTCTTCACATTGTTCTCAGACTCCCCATGCCATTTGCTGTTGATATCGGCAGGGGTCACCCGGATCATGGTCGATGACGTCTGCTTTGCGATGATCCTGGCGAGATGCGTTTTCCCAGTTCCTGGAGGCCCGTAGATAAGAGCACCACCTGCTTCGCGCTTGAGAATGCCTGAAAGTTGGCTACGCCGTTCCAGGAGTAGGATCATGCGCTCGACCTGGGTTCTGACAGCGGGACCGACCTCAATGTGTGACCAGTCTGCATCAAGCGTAGCTGGGTCAAGTTAGCGGTTTCTCTAATCATTCGATATAAGGAGGGGACGTACATTTATCCACTAGGGTTTCCATCGTGTTTATTCCATCCTTCTTGGAGCTCTTACTATTCCCAGAGCCAAATAGCCGAGCCAAACGGTCATCCTTGGGATCCGTGACACGAGTGTCTGACGTATGCCCCCAGTTCTGCGTCGCCTTGTCTTCGTCCACGTAGCGATTTGCAAGAGAGACTAAGATGTCCATGGTCAAGGGGAATGGTCCCAACATGCGCTCCGCAATACCCTGAGCTTCGTGCCGAGTGAGCCTTTTCCCTCCCAAAAATAGCTTCAATGCAGAATCTGTGACCGGCCATACAGCATATGGCTGTAGCATTTCTGCGTCCTGCTCAGGATGAAGACTCCTGAAAACCTGTTGTAGCAACCTTTTGTTTGCCTCTTCTAATTGGCTTTCTTTTGCCATTTTGAAAAGGGCTTCTTGAGATGCAGTCTTTTGTGGGAAAATATCAATTCTTCTTGGGGCTGGGCGGGTGTTAAGGCTCCGACCAGATGGCCCGAATTCCTTTCCCTCAGGTTGGATAGTGCTGTCGGTTGCAATAAGAATCACCCGATCTCCCAACCCAGAAGTTCGGATGGCTGTACCTAACGATATACAAACAGGATGCCAGAACCTCCCAAACTCCCTGGACCGTAGAATCAAGATGATAGCAGACCCGTTCCCCACATTGCTGAGCATACCTCGAAAGAGATCTGCAGAGTCATATGTCTTTGCCTTGTTGAAATCACTCGTAAATGATTTCAACGACTCCCATTTCTTGGAGCTTGCATCTGGCATCCATTTTTCGAATTTTGTATCGTCTCCTTCTGGAAAATAGGTAGACATGTAGTGCTGTGAAGCGTTATACGAGTAGGTCTTTCGAGGCCCTACCATGTGCTCTGCCAGGTCTTGAATATCTTGATAATCAAGAACTATTAGCTTTCTTCGAAGATTAGCTGCTAGCTTGGCGACTACCGAGACGAAAAACCCATCGCCAGAGTCATTATCATCGGGGAGGCGTAAGAGCAGCCCATTATGCACCAACTTCTGTGGCTGGGTTTCGCCACTAATGTTCCAACCAGCCCCAAGAAGATAATCGGTGAGCCTCGCATAAATGCAAGACTTGATGTCGTACCCTGCTCGACTGGCTGCTTGATCACGATCGCTGATGGAAAGTTGAGCCGCAAGCTTTTTCACGGCTGCCTCATCTTTGACACAGTGATTCCAAAACCAAGTTGGGAGATTTTGACTCATGTTTGAGCCTTGGAGGATCGATCGGACGGTTTCCCTATATTGGATGCGGAGTGGTAGTCACAGAGTATAGAGACCTTCGATTGTCGACTCGAAATTCTAGACACCTGAGCTTTCTGGGTGATCATTCGTTTTTGCTCAATAATGCCAGCGCGGTGGTGTCGCTGAAGGCACCGAAATGTTTCCTTGTAGCTGTCTCGACTGACTCAGGCTCTTTGTCCCTTAACTAACATGTAATAGAATTTCGGATATGAGAAGCTGATACTCTCACCGTTTGATAGGAAGGAGGTGTGGTTGTGACCCTTCCCTTGGGACATGGCTGAGTCATATATATTGGATGACTCTGAATAAAGTTTTTTGGAGGCGTTGGTTCCTGTGCCCAGGCTGTATGTGGCAAAAGTTCTGACTTTTCCTTTGTGCATAAGGTTCAGGTATTGACTGTAATCCATGTCAGAGTTTGAGCATAAAGTAAAAAACAACAGTAAAATACCACAGACCCGACATCTCAACATAATGAACAATGGACTGTGATTTCTGGTGCGTAAAAAGGACCTGTATCATCTAGTTACATGTGTAGCCCGATCCTGGGGTATCCCTTATTGACGGCAATTGAAAGAAAAAAACCCTCACATGCATGAGAACCCGTACGCAGCAATCATGATAGCTTATTAGGTGTCCTTCTAACGGCCGGAATTTGCGCCCTTAGGGTGAGACACAGCCATGGCCCTCTCGTCTTTACCTCTAGCCCAACGGACAGCAATCATCTCATACCAGTAGGAAGTACAGAGCAATATTAGGTGCGACAGGCGCCTAGTTGCTGCAAAACCTCATCCAAATTCTGATGGAGACAGAATTCCTCGTCTCCAACTTATAAGCGGCCTTTGGTAGGGTTCTAACCATGTCATGGCACGACATATCTATCAACTCGTATGATTAGGAACGTGTTTGACTATATAGTTGCGCCATATTGGTTTATTTTCATGTTTCAACATTATATGCTGTAAATACAGGCAATCTATCTTAGACGGAAACTCTAAGTACCCTCGCTTTGGCTAAGGATAAACCGGAGGCGGGATTATGCAAGAATCTCTACTAGTTTCGAGGTTTCCGTTGTATGAAACGACACAGAATTCGAAGTTCCAAGTTCCCGGAAAAAGAAACCCAACACCGTAGCTTGTACCTGTTGTAGAACCATCAAGCTTGAAATTGCTGCCGTCATTTATGTTTCTGACATAAACAGCGTAGCCTAAAGCATCAGAGACGATTGACCACTCCAGCAAAATCTGTACAGAAGATAAGTTTTGCACTTTCAGATTTTTAGGAGACGTACTGGGAGCGCCTGCTCCAACTCTAGCATGTCTATGACCTGCTGGTCTACCACCTGATAGTCTTCCAGTGCCAAGGTCAACCCATGTCTGTACCGAGGTTGAATATCGATGGCCCGATTTGAGGTTGGAGATAGTAAGGCTAGTTCCTTTCGCCGCGTATCCCTCGATATACGAGCCAGCCACATCCTGGTCAAGTATCATGACTTGGTATCGATTGACATCGCTTCGAGGGATAGCGTCCCAGCTGAATCGAAGTCCATTACCCTCGGGATAAACGGCAATCCCAGACGGCCCACTTGCAGTCTTTGGGTGAGCTGTGGAGCTTACCAGAGATGACCAGTCTGAGACGGCACTGTTGTCCCCTCTTGAGCGGACCTGGAATTCCCATGTTTCTCCTTCGACAACCCAAGTCATGTAAGAGACAAAGGTGCTTGGGGAGACAGCTCCTTCAGACCACCATTGAGCAGAGCCTTTTTGTCGAATCCTGATATCATATCCTCTCGCTGTAGTCATTCTGTCCCACTCAACAAAGAAGCCTTCGTCCACTGCAGAGACCCTGAAATTTCCTGGGACGCTGAGCTGACGCGCGGGTACCGATGCTGGCGGCTGGAAATCCTCGCCCTGGAAATAAAAACTGCTTTTCAGGACCTTAGCAAAGGCCTGAGCTATATAGTATTCACCCATTTCGTTCGGGTGTAGCCCGTCGTAGCCATGGGGGCACCCTTCAGGCCGGCAGTTGACGTTGCTGGCAACATCCACGACCGAGATGGGAGATTCCCAGCGAAACCAGTTTGGAACGGTCTCCGCAAGCTTGCGGTTGTAGCTATTTGTATTATCAACCAAGTCTTGGCGGCCTTCAAGGAAGCTCCTATGCATCACGTTGCCCACCAGCACGTTGATGTCCGCTTTGGCTTCACGGGCGCTCTGGACTATGGCCCCCATATCTCCAAGCAGCCCTTCAGGTCCCTGAACACTCCAGCCGAGATCGTTGAAACCCAAGAGCAGAAGTAGATAGGCTGGCTGGTGCTCTTGAACCCATCCCTTGATCCAGTCCTTGTCTTGGTGGGCTTGTCTTCCCCACCAAGCAGCGTGAGCAGAAGTCTTGAAATTAGCTTCCACATTAGGTGCGTAGATTCCTTCTAAGTTACTGTAAGACTCCTGGATTTCGCCTTCAAAACGGGCTGGTAACGGCCGAGCAGAGTTTGGGTCGGCGGGCCCATGAGTTCCCCGATATGGGCCGACGAAATTCGGCTGGTAGCCTTGTTCTTTCACTGCGTATCGATCGAGTATTAGAGCTCATAGAACTTGCGTCATCATACAGAGGGGTGTCATGGAGTAGAACATGGACTTCACTGACACCATTGCCACAAGCGATAACGCCAGGTGTGGTCTCCGTCTGCACCATGGGTGATTGAGTCTCCCACGATCATGAACTTTGGCTGAGAATCAAGTGACGTGCTTTTGGAAGATTGGTTCTGTGGAAGAGCCAATACTACTGATGCTAGCCATAGGAAGAGAGGAGCACTCCATAGGCGCCCACCACGGTAGCATTCGGCCATTCTTTCTTCGATAACTGAAGAAAAAGGAACCTATTGAGTGGAATAAAGACTGTTGGAAGGATGAGAACGTTTGGAGATGACCATTAGTTCTGCAGATATCATGCCACCTATATAAGTTCTTCTAGTGCTGACTTGCCTTCCTTCCCGTCAACTATTGAATTCGCCCCTGGACTGGCCATTGACGGTATCAAATAACGCACTAGAAAGTGGATGGAGTACTAGGAAGGGTAATACGACATGCGAGAAAGTCGGGACTTTGTAACGTGGGTTCAATCGGGTTGGTGAGCACAAAAGGTTCCTTGATGCAGGCATCATGCAAGGCACTCGCATAAGCGATGCCCAGATTTATTGGCTTCGTGCGCCCACTGCCCCCACAAGTCAGTACTTTGCTGTAACCTTATGCTTATCATTTGAGGCGCAAGGGGAATTATTGAATGCGAAGAGGAAACAATCCCGAGCGGCACATGTCATCTCGTACTGGTCGTAATGAACTGTTAGGGACATTTCTGTTTGCCTGAAGTCACCAAAGCCGATTATTTGTCGGTCAGTGTTGTAATATCAGCTGTCGGGAGGATTCAAAGGATCCCGCGAACACTGAATGCCCGAAAACTGCCTATCATGTCGCAACACTCTGTGTATAAGCTCAGCTGGCCCCTCCCTGGCGTTATTGATTCTCATCAGTTAGCGATGAGTGAGCCCGCAAACGGTAAGCGCAAGCTGGCCATTGAGGAGAAAACATTGGACACGTAGGGTCTGTAGAAGAGCAAACGAAGGAAAGGAACCCGTCTAATTAGACCGTCAACATCGGAGCCATATTTCAGCCCAACCTCAACAACGCTGAAGACAAGGCCATTAATGCCAAATTGGCAACAACACACTTTTCTAGCTGCTTGGCGCCCTAAGCATACCATTACCCAAGTATCCCCGAGATAATATCACCAACAAATCTAGGGTTGCTAACAGCCAGATGAGCGCGCTGAGCAACGTAAATCTCCTAGCTCTCCAAAATATGTTATCACTAGCCAAGGCTCGAGGAGCGGAGTCACATAAATCTCCTAGAGGTAAGAGTTGAGTTGATGGCCAGATAAACGAGAAATGGATGGCAAAATTCTCCTTGCTCTAACTGGGGCTGACTGCACTTAGCCATGCGATTAAATAGTGAATCACTGTATTTTCGCCGCTCTTTCGCCACCTGAAAGGCTAAGTTTAGATGATCTCATTACTAAAATTGAACACCTCTTATTTATGTATTCCAATTTCAAGACGTTTTGAAACATAGTATGCTATTGTTTTTGTTGGCCGGAGATTCCCTGTATAGGGCAAAGGGCTTCTAGCTAGTTCTATTCAGCGGTATATATAAATGTTCTTGCCCTGTAACTATCCCATAGTCGCTAAAATTGTTTTATAATTTCTTTTCTTTCTTATTCATAGCAGACATCGAACCTTAATAAGGTATTCTTCTTGTATTAGGACTCTTTGTGAGAGCTCTACCCTTAAGCGGGTATCCCTCGCGGGTAGCGCATTTCTATACAAAGACACGACTGAAGAATCTTTGAGGTCCTTAGTTCTTCCATTCGTATTCGAACAGCGATGTCGTAATTACGTCTCTAATCACGAATTGATCTGTTATTGAATGCGTCCTAGCTAAAAAGAAGATGTGAATCACGATGAGGGAAAATTATATAAAGCAATATGCCGCTCCAGCGTGCAATAGCCGAGACATAATAACAGCCTTGGCTTTTACTCAACATTCTTCTGTTACTAGCAAAAATGACCACTCTTTATAACACTGATAACATCCGGGAGAATGATCATCTACTCTCCGCAACCGTCAGCAAACTATTTGTCGATTTCAAGGACACAAGCGAGAAACCTCCAAGCGAGACACCTCACGTAGAAGCTGTCGATTTCATTATGAAAAAGAAGAAGCCTCCTCATGCAGAATTCCGACTGGTTCTTGCACAAGACAACATCGATAGATGGAACTGCAGCATGGGCTCGAATCCTGGTGCAGTTGTGAATTCGCAAAATGACATTACGATTGGCGTCCGAACTTGTCAGAATCTTCCAGCGAATATATTGATCTCGTTTGAGTTTAGAGTACGTGTATCAGGTCTGACGCTGCGTGGTTTGTTGGATCTTCTATGCGCGACAGATCTTGAGCATTGGGAAAATTTATTCCAGTTCAACCAACTGGGCCTGGACCTTAGAGGAAGTCGCGACCTTGTGTAAGTATATTCTCGTGCTATCCCACTGCATTGTATCCCCTCTTTTTGGGTTTCTTTGACTTCTAGCTAACAATCCGTCAGATTTCAGTGGTTACTGAGGCTTGAACGAATGAATATCATCAATCGTACAGCAGATGGCGTTGCGGATACGTCACGCCTAGGCATACTGGGACAGCCAGAATTACAGTTTGGGAAGTTTATAGCCAAGGATTACTCAAACACGGGTTGGGGTGTCATCCAGTCTGCTTCTGAAGTTGAAATTCATCGAGGATGGTTCGAGTTCGAGGCTTTGCGGGCAAGAGGGAGCAACGATACACCGCATCCTTACGTATCGCTAGATGAAGATGTGGATCATAAGGCTAAGTCTGGCGCATGATTGAGATTTTTCTCTTTATTTCAAGATCTCACCCTTGGTCCCGCAATCGCCAAGATTTGGCTTCTGGGCAACGTTTCGTTTTTTTTGTATGATACTATTATCAATTGATTTTCGCTTTAAATGACGCATACTTCAACCCAAAGTTCCTCAGCCCACTCGTCGCCATCACAATGAAATGGACTTGTTAAAACCTTTTTTCCACGAAGGCCGCATGTCTCCATTTTCCGAGGGAGCTCTTGGCCAGCCATGATACTCCTGTACCATATTCTAACATAGTCTGCTGCACTGCTATAACATTCAATCTCAATACAGAGGCACTTTGCGATAGAAACAGGCCGTTCCCCTTCTTGAAGTGGCCACACATGTCCGTTGACGAACCTTTTGATAAATGGGAACAGTTGATCAGGGTCGTGTGGTATAGACTCCCAATCTGGATCATCGTGGAAAGTTGTATCAATTGATAGAAAGTCCAGATGAAGGCAGCCTTGATGAATGGCATGATCCAAAACGGCGAACCAATCTGATTGAATCTCTTCTTCTTCTCTGTTTTCAAACATTCGAAAATCTAGAGACCGCAGATACGGGAGAGGTTGTAGGACTCCGATCCGTGACAAGAAATAGATTGCAGCATATCGTGTAGATGGTATGTGATCATCGATGCTGCCGCTGAAGATTCGGGGGTGTTCTGGGGGCAATATCATGAACCGATTCTGGCTCCAAAATATTTGCTGCGCAAGGATAGAAAAGGACTTGCTGACGAGGAAAAGTGAGAATGGGTTCTCATCTTTGGACACAATAAAACCTCCATTTGGGGTCCACTCGATGTACATATCGAACATGTCTTCTTGCTCTGGGTCGTGTGTATAAACTACCTGTTGAAGAATTTTGAGCTTTATTTCCATTGGAAAGTCAAGGAATGAGAGTGGTGCCATGGTTGTTGAGCTGATGCATATGATGGATGTTGGAAGATGGTGCACGAAAGAGTGTACATGAGTCTAGTGGTGATGAAGCAAAAGGAATAAAAAAGCCAGACTCATCCAAGAGACTCTAAAATAACTCATGGGCTTTCTACCTTTTCCCGAAGTGGAATTGGCCCCCAATAAATCGCACCATGGAGATCTGATGGGCTACAAACACCCCATAATTGTTTGTCTGTGAAATGATGCGTTGGTGCCTGACGGGCTTTCGCAAATCCTTAATAGTTGGCGACCAACGTAAAATGGCAGAGCCCGATGTAATAGCCTTGCTCCAACGTGCCGTACATGTAACTAAGCCGGCGTTACGTTTCAAATGATGTGGGCGGAGATCTTCAACATGAAGCCTCAGCCCAAGAATCCAACCCCCTGAGGATCAAATATTTTGAGTAATGTCAAAAAGGTGTTCACGGCATACTTGGAAATCACAGTCTGGAACTATTTTGCGTTGGGGGAGCTGTATCCTGAAACCCAGTTTCCCGCAAATAAGAAATTGCCTGGATACGAAATTTATTACTCTGTTGTTTCATTCATCGCAGAAGGCGTGCTGTGGTAATTACTAGCCTCCATATTCACATCGTATATATGTCCTAAAATCAACGAAGGTATTATTTTCTATCAATATTATACAGCCCGAACTTTGAACCTGGCTTCCTGGTCCGGAAAATGCATGTAATCACACCCAGGGGTAGTTATCATCCAAAATACCTGCACAAACAGGGAATACCGTTCCCTTTACTCAAGTTCAGACGGTCTCGGGCCAGCATCTAGCTCGACGGGTCCTTTCGGAGATGAATCTAGCTCGGCGACTGGTGCAATGTATGGTGTTGGGCTTTGCCGCTGCATGTAATCTCCATTGGAAGCGTTGACAGCAGATGCCCTTCGTTTTCTCTGCCGGTCAAAAACGGAGGCAAACTCTCGTGCTTCTGGCTGGCCTATCAACATTCACGTTAGCTCACAATGAAGCTCGAACGTTGAAATGAAAGCTTACCGGGAAACGTGAAGACGGCGACATCCGCGTTATTTCTCCAAGAAAGTTCCACCGCCCTATTCATTACCAGAGATGCATCTATGAAGTCTCTCAGAGGCCATTCTACATACTTTCTACTATTTCGATCGTGGAACGTGATGGTCGTATCAGGGATCTTGCTAAGGCCTCTCGACTTCTCCCACAGACAGACCAGCTTATCTCGCGCCAGTAATACGTCTTTGGAACCTCCAACCATCATGCAGCAGAGGTTCTTCCAAGGCGATTGGGTATTCTTTTTCGATACCTCGACAGGAAGGAATTTTCCAACGAGCTCACGCTCCCTGATCTTCATCATGAATTTATCACAGGCTCGGGAAGTCTCGAATTTATATATTGGATCGAGTCGGTATACGGCGTAGTCTGTAGACGTCTCAACGGTGAGTAGTTGGTCCTCCAAGAAGTCGCATTCTTTCGCGTCTAGATTCTGTGGCGTGTTTGGTATCGTTCCGAATTGAACTACAGAGTTGTCAGCAAGATCGATTGATTATATTTGAGCCGACCAGAGCTGCTTAAAGGTGCTGCCTAAAAGATACCTTCATGAGTTACGACCGTATTTCTGTCACTCGATTCGTACTGAATGGTTCGAAAATTAGATGTATAGTTGCGCTCTAAGATGCTGAACCATTCTAGTTGTAACGGCGGTCGCACGTCTTCGTTCTCGGCGTCCTGAAATACCCTTTCATAAGGTCAGCATCGGGCGAAAGACATGACGCACGAATTTTGTATCTGCGCTGAAGCGGGCTATGCAATCGTACAATGTAGTGTGTAATTGCGAGAGGCTCGAAGTTGGAAGTAAGTCTCGCCGCGCGGTTGATGGAGGTGAGTAGGGACTGTGTTGAGGCGAGCTATTGATATTCGCGATGCTGGCATTCGAACTTCGTCGACGTCTAGTAGAATAGAGTTAGAAATGATCTAACCCCGAGACCGAGTATGTATTTCGCAAACATACCGAGTTCTAGTTTTCAGCATCTCGTGTAAGCGGCTGAGCTTTGCGTTGAGTCGGTACACGTCTCCCTCGAGCGAACTGTTCCAGAAGAAGGTCATCGCGACCCGACTCGTGGTGCTATTTTCCTCTATCATCTCCATAACCTCGTCAATAATGCGGGAGATCCTGTCCAGTAGGTCAATGTCTTCCTCGGGGTCAACGTAATCCTGCAGCTCCATCACATCGCTCAAAATTTCTCGCAGATCATCGACAGTTCTACCCAGCCTCTGAGCACGACCCATGTTATTCCTCGCCAAAGTAATGAGTGAGATGGCCGTCCCGACAGCTCCAAAGACCTCCATCTTTGCTGGCGGATTTTGCGCGCCTTACGCGCGCACAGAATAGAAGAAACAAAACAGTGTATCCTGAGACATGCAGCCGCCCATGCGGCAGCAATAGCTGCGCTAAATGCGCTCGCGCCTTGGAAGAACTGGGAGATAGAAAAGGACAAGAGAACGGAAAGACAAGACAGAAACAGCGACGATCAAAGACCAGATGAATCTGCGGAGGGGGGCCAGTGCCATGTGGCGACTGGCAGGGCACCCGTCGGCCGCATCGGCCACCCGAAGCCCATCCAAGGCAGACTCACAGCCCTACATAGCTCTCGCAAAGGGCCTTTCGATCAATATTTGTATGCAGGAAGGGGCTATGTCCTCACTTAGCCACTCCACAAACAGGTTACAGCACGCGCCCAGGTCTCTTTGCGGAGCCGAGGCGTCCCCTGGTCGTCATCTACTCCAGTACTTACGAGAGAATAGTCCCCGCACCCGCCACTTGGTTGGTATCCCATATGCGCATATTGCAGGTGGACGCACCCCCGATGTGACCTCTTCCTAGAGGGAGGGTGGCTGCCAAGTATTGGATGCTCCCGTATAAGTGAGTCTTCGACGAATGAGACCGCAGCATGATGGCACGGGCTCTTCCAGCTGCAGGCAGGGGTTGGACGAGCACAGCACATATCAGGTAGAGAGACTTCTATTTCCGTGCCACACTTAGCGAGCACACATTTGAAAAGTACGGGAAATTAATAAGAAGTGGTAAGACAATCTTTACTCTTTCGACACTCCGAAGGGGCGCAGCTGCTGCATGTGCAGCTGCAGCACCGATGTGGCCACCAGCTGAGTCGCTCCGAAGGTAGGACTCGGATATAGGACAGGCAGATTAAGGCCTTTGGTTGCCTGACGAATTGCCATAGGATGGCGGTTGCGTGTTTCCCCGACGTAGGCTTGCAGCTGGCAGAAAATATGAACTGCTTGCGCGGCACCACCTCACAGGCCCAAACTGACCTGCTCCAGGACGCTTTCCAAGCAGCGTGAGCTACAAGGTGCATGTGTCGCTTTGTTCTTCTCTTTACTCTAACCTTTGGTTGGCATCAAGGACCAAGTTGGTATCTTCCCATATTGATGAGACTGCTTACTCGAAACCTTTGTTACAGCCATGACTGATACTACACAACCGAACCGTGGCAGGTGGTGGGACAGGTACAATCCGGCCCCTGATACGGAGCACATTAGAGTACGCATGATACCTAACAACATGTTCCCTTTTATTTTCTCATTCGATGACACACATTCGCAGTTTTCACTGACGAGGCTTGCTTTCTTAGAATCGCAATGAGCGTGAAAGGGAGATCCTGAGAATCCTTGATTCGATAGGCTTCAACTGGCCCGTCTTTATAGCTGTATCGGCTGGATTTCTCGCCTCCTCATACACCATCTTCTCAAGTAACATCATCGTCCCAGCTCTCCGCTATGTCTATCCTTCCGAGAATAAGGGCGATCAGTACTATTTTCCCCACCCCAGTTTGACCATTGATATGGTGACCATTGGCACCACCACGTTGGGTATGCTAGTCTTTGGCCATCTTGCAGACCTTCTAGGTCGCAAACGGCTATATGGACTGGAACTGATCATTATTATCCTGGGCACGGTTGGGATGATCCAAACCTCTGATGGATTCTCAAACGGTCGCGAACACTCACTTGATCTATACGCTGCCATCGCGACATGGAGAGGGATCCAAGGCTTGGGTATTGGGGCCGAGGCAAGTTTGATTTTAAGCCATTAATCGATGAAAAATACTGACTATCTCATTCAAGTATCCTGTCTCAGCAGTGATCGCTTCCGAGTTCTCCTCCACAGAGACCCGTGGGACCCTCATGGCGGCCATGTTTGGGATGCAATCGCTGGGGAGGCTATTAGCCTATGCTGTCACACTTGGGGCCGTGAAATCAATACCAAACGACAGATCAGACCACCGCGTTGCCGTCGACAGAATCTGGCGCCTTGTGGTTGGCATCAGCGCGATCCCTGCTTTCGCCGCGGTTGGTTTACGCTTTACCATACCCGAGACTCCGCGATACTATACAGGGATCAAGAAAGACTTGAGGAGGGCAGTGCAGGCTGTTGAACGAGTCGGAGGGCGTCAAAATGATCTCGATCAGGTTCACGAGAGCATACAGCCACCGCGAACTTGGAGGCGTGAGAAGAAGAAGTCCTGGTACTCCAATGCCTCTACATATCTGTTCGGCAAAACACAAGGATGGAAGATCCTCCTCGGCATCTCCCTGCAATGGTGCCTTCTTGACGTAAATTTCTATGGCCTAGGGCTTGATAGTCCCTCGACTTTAAACCGCCTTTGGCTATCAAGCCCGCCCAGTGCCAAAATGGCCTGTCCGGAGGTTAATGTTACGGTTCCAGCCCCCGCATACGAATATCAAACGGCCACTCTCACCCTCCAGAACAGCATTGTCACTACAGTCACAAAGATTGCTACCTCACTCCCAACTGCTACGACTAATTCAAGTTTAATGACCGATATTACGGTAGCAGCAACCGACCTCCCAGCTTGGAACGAAGATGCGGGTAACCTTTGCGCTACAATCCACGAGTCCCTTCAGGACGCGGCGGAACGAGCCCTAGAGGTCACATCCGTCGCCTCTATAGTTGGATCTATCGCAGCCGTATTCGTCATCAACCGCTACAAACGACGAAATCTTCTCGCGTGGACTTGCGGCATCCTCTGCGTGTTATTTTTCGCTGCGGGGATCGCGGTCAGATACGCCACTGAGACGCCCGCGAACGAAGCCAGTTTGGTCTTCTTCGCTTTGACGCAGTTTGTCTTTAACCTAGGGCCTAATACTCTGACTTTCATCATAGCCGCTGAGTCTTTCCCGACTCTGTTCAGAGGCACTTTCCACGGAGTGGCAGCGGCAATGGGGAAGGTTGGGGCGCTTATTATTCGACCCATCATCAACGCGGTGACGCATGGCCAGGTAGGCAAGGATAAAGAAACACTAAGCTCTCTCCTGTTCGTCTTTTGCGGCATCCAGCTAGTGATGGTTGGTATAGCTCTCATACCAGCGTCCATGGTGGATGCGCAAGTAGAAGATGAAGAGACCTCTCTGGAGTGGGCGGAGAGGAAGCGCTGGTTGTGGCTGCTCTTTGGGAGGTTGCATAACAAGTCGCTGGAGGAAATCGCTCCAAATCCGGAGAGCTCTCCGGAGAGACGAGACGTGGAGATGATGCAGGTGAAAACTGATCGCGGGGGAAGACCTCGAGACCGAGACCCCGATGTGCCCCCGTTGGTGGTATGAATGCAATCTCTATCTGGTTCTGAATCTATCTAGTTGACGTATCTATTGTCCATGGGGGGGTGGAGTAAGTTCTCTAAGCTGTAAAGTTCTAGTATTCTATCATTTCCGTTCCACAAGCGGTTTCAAGTTCACTTATTAGATTCACCAAGCCACTGCTGGGCGAAGTAAACCACCGGGATGGGAGCCATATCAGGAGGGGGGTTTGTCCTATACTGTTCGTAGCCGAATGGTGCCATCGACCACCAGAACCAAGCTGCAACCCAGATATATCCAACCACATACCGCAGGCTTTTAGGGAGACTTTTGCCAACCAAGGCTTGCATGGCTTCCTCCAGCATGATTCCCAGTGGTTGGAGAAGGAAAAACGTGACCACGCCAAAACGTCCCTCATCAAGGCCATCCATCTCGAATTCCATAACCCAATGAAGTGCGCCACTGATCAAGAAAGGGAAGAAGAGACGGGCGAAATGGGAAAGAAAGGTGCCACGCTGAAGAGATAAGACCTTCTCCGAAATGAATTTCCCATGGACGGACACAGAATTTCTCAACAATTGATGCCAGCATTGGCTATTTCCGCAAGTTAGTTGTCTGAACACTCTGTTACTGAAATCATCTACTCACCTCCACAACCCGCGAACTGTATGGGCAGATGCTATCGTGCCAAAGATATGCGGCCACGATTCGGGATCGCTCATACCAGTAACCACCATTACCGTAGCAGCCAAGTAATACATGCAAGTTGCAGACAGGCTAGCCACAACCGCGAATAACAGGACGACACTGAGCCGAACGATCGCGTCTTCCGCGGAAAGATTCCCAAAGGCATAGAGCGTCTCCTTGCCCGGTGCCATCAAATGCGGCTCGGGCTTGGGCGGCAATCTCAGGATGGCGTCGATGGCGGTCGAGGTCAGAAGGGTCTTGAGGGCGGCCCAGACCACAAATTGAGCACGACTCTGCGGCTTGCTGGGCCTGGAGACACCTCTCACCTCCCACTTGGTGTTGATCCGGCGCAGATTGAAGAAGAGGCGGAGGGCTTCCCACAGCGGCTGAGCTGCCCCCTGGTGCCGAGCGAGCCGAACCAGCTCAGCTGCATCGACACGAGTGATGAGCATGAGATCGAGAAGGCTTAGGTAGTGATTCCATATCAGCGGCCCTAGAACCCTTAGCTGGGTGCTGGTGAAGAAGCGGGCGCCGGCGAGATAAATGCAACGCGTCAGCACGGCGAGTGGGAGCGCGGCAGCGAGACGAAGAAGCGTGGCCTTCCTCGGGGTGTAGACAACCACGCCAGCGAAGATACTGGCGTGTATCACGCCCAGCAGCAGGAACTGGGCAACAGAGTTGACGGGTTGCTCCATTGTGTGATGGCAAAGGACTGATGACTGAACTTGACCGTCTCCTTGAATTGGTGGAGCCTCAATTTGTTGGGCCACGCTAGAAATTTTGAGATGACAAGATTACACATGTCAGCTCTCAGGCCGGGGAAAGCCACCGCACTAAATACTGGGTTCATGCCAAACCACATAAGCCCTAACTCCATCATCCATGCAGCAATGTCTCAACCGTGGGCGGCGGTGTGTAACAACTCTCCGAATGAAAGGGCTCCGCTGTGTAGCGATCTTACAGTTATCGAAGGCCAGCTTATCGATCCTGTTCACAGCCTACCCTGTAACGATGATCAGCCAATTGACTTGATCAAGGCAGAGGAAAGTCGGTGGCACGAGTTCTAGATGCCAGAGAAGACAAATGCATAGGCTCTCGGGGACTAGACAAGATGTGATTTTCATGGGTACACAGTAAACCGACTTGATAAAATGTTCACTCCAGCAAACATGGGCTTCTTTCCACTACACATGAACCTCAAACATGGGTTCTCGCAAGACTGACTTGTGAATTGATCATTAAAATAGCTTTTGGAGATTTGTTTTGACCTTAAAAGTTGTTTTCCCTCTGTTAGGGGACTGCAAGGTGGAAGCTTGTTTCGAGTTGAAGCCTAGGTGGGACAAACGGGTTTCGATTAATCAATGCATGCACAAGTAGAAGTTTCTGTTGAAATTTGTGAAATGAACTTTTTCTAATCCTAAGATTGTGTAGCTAAAAAGCAAAAGTTCTCGTAAGCAAGAGTCTGAACAATGCCTGACTCTCTACAATTCTTCCCATCACTCCGGGCCTGTATATGGCAGCTGCCATTCATATGTCGTTGGCGGTTGAATTCCATCTTGTTCATGAGAACCCTGTTGTCCCTGAGATCCCTGGTGCGCTTCATATGCTTGAAATGTGTAGACTGTTGAAAGTGGCGGGGCCAGTGGAAGTGGCCGGGCTGGTGAATATGCCACCTGCGATGGTGGATTTGTTTGATGCGTACCTTGTGGCCGCGCGAGTAGAGACGCCTGGGTTGTCGAGAGCGATGGGGTATTGGATGACGTGTCCGGCGCGTACAGGATACTCTTACCACAACTTCTTGTCACCCGAGCCCCGAACACCCCCCGATCCATTGGAATTTCGGGCCCATCACTGCAAACAATGCGTTTAACGCGTTTTCTGCGAGGGAGACCGGGGTCTTCATCACTGCGAGGAGGTGCGGTTTCGATTCTCAGCGGCTTTGTAATAAAATCAAAGAAGTGAGTGGGGAGGCTGGGTTTGGGTCGCCTATAGCCTAGAGCTGTAACAGCATTCCAGGGGACCATTTTGTTCTCTTCCCATCTAATCATTGATTGTGTGCTGAGATTGTTTAGCAAAATATAATAAGACAGAGCGGTGACCGGATGAGAAAAAAGAGACGACCAGGTCCTTTGATTTAAAACTTACACGAAATCGCGAGATCCCATTGTCGTAGCGGGCACCTGGGACCCCGTCTGCCAAGGTGGACCATTGTAGAAACGGGCCAAATCCTTGCTTACAATCTCCTCCTGCTCTGGAGTTAATTTTCCATCCTCCGTAACCGGAGGAATTTTTTGGTAATTCCCTCTAAGAACCGACAGGTAGTCTTTCAGGGTACTATTCATATCGGCTGTCAGGAATTTAAACGAAACGATATGCTCCCTATGGAGATATGGAGTGCTGACAGTGATCGATGACTTGAAGTTGGTAGCAGGCAGCAAATGGGGGTTCATCCCTAGGTTGATAGACTTCGTCGGGATTGGAGTCCCTCTTACTGTTTGCCAGCCTCCAATTGCGGTATAGGCCTCTGTCTCTAGCTGAAATTCGGCATGTGGTTTAATATCTTGCGACTCGGTGAAAACAATATAAATGTTGACAACTTTTTGAGCAAGAATGGCCGACAATGGACCATTTGAATCATCCAGGTTAATCTCCTGAAATGGCCAGCTCGAGACTGGGCTCACGGGGCCGTCGTGAAATAGGGACATATTTGTGGTTGTAGTCGATGTATCGATATTGATTTATGTTAGTAGACAAATTTCGATGACCAATATGTGAGTGAGCATAGGCTTATATATGAATTTCCTGTGTTGTGATGCATCCGTCTCAGACAAGAGGACCATGTCCTTTCTACATGTATGTTAGGATACTCTGAGAATCAGTTCTTAAACTACAGTGAAACACTAAATAGCTCATAAATTTCTAAACAAAACAAAGAACGTATACTATATTAGAAAACGAATTCATTTATTGGAAGAGTTACAGTACACTGAAAATAATTCGTTATAGTTAAGTGTTTAACCGCATGACTGGCGAACCTGATTTGAAATTCGAAAAGATCAACGAAAATTCAAACAAAAACCTTTCATGATCTACGACACAATATCTAAAGTACCAAACGCCAATGAGCTTCAGGGGGGGCTACAAAAGGTCGTCATTGAGATACGGAAGAGAAAGAGAATAAAGTTCGAGAGCAATGAGAAATGAGGTTGGGATACAAATTGTCTTTGTCTTAGGTTTAAATTGAAATGAACATGAAGGATCAAGCATTCTAATTTGAACTCCCATTGGGCGTAGTTGGTGGTGATGGTGTAATTGTGGAAGGGAGAGCTTATCTTTGGACTAAAATACAGCCTAGTCTCAAAGAGTAGTTGGTGGGAAGACTTCATAGTGGTAGCAGTATTTGATTGTCTGTGCTTTAATCATTATACACTCGTGGATCATGGGCGAACCGATCAGGCGTAGACTTTAGCATGAAGAAATGCCGTCAGGCGCAGAGCTGCCTCTTGCTGTGCAGTATCTCAGTTGTTATCATCATCGAAATATAAGATAGCATTCCAAACCATAGATCTGGGCCCTTGCTGACAAACCACTCTTTACCCTGTAACTTTCTCAACTGGTCTTTGTCAATTCATGAAGTAGGTGGCATCGAACTCAGATACTAGATTACTGTTCTTGTAATTGAAGGCTTTCTGGTTCTACCACAGGTCAGTGAGCCTTGCGAATGACCCTCATATCAGGTTTTAGAACACAGAAAGAAGGTTTCGGTCGGATTCTCACTGTTAGTATAGTTTTCAAGTAAGTGCTAAATACTTGATTCTATGATGCAACTTTGCAGTACAGTTTGACTGTTTGCTAAATTATATAACCTATTCTTATCGAGATGGGACTCGCTGCCGTTACACTTTTACGGACCTGAATTTATTCTGTGATCCTGAGATTGTGTAGCTAGAAAGTACAAGTTTTGTAGAGAAGAATCTAAATAATGCCCGACTCTTTGCAAAGAAAAAGAAACGTGCTTGCAGAATAGCCGAGCTTCCAAACCACGTTGCCAAAGGCCCCAGTTTCCTTACTGGCCGTAGGATCCCTAGGGCCCTTGACACGGCGGCTGCGATTGGAATTCTGTATGCCCTTGGGAGTCTGGATAAGGTTGCTGGGTCTGGAATCCTGCATGACCTTGTTCCATCTGTCCTTGGAATGCTTGATGTGACAGCTGGGCTTCGTTTCCCGTCTGGCCTTGGAATCCTGGAAATGGCTGTTGGGCTTCATATCCGGCCTGCCCTTGGAAGCCCTTTTGGCTTCGGAAACCTGTTTGACTTTGAAATTCTGGATATAACTGTTGGGTTTGGAAGCCCGTCTGGCCCTGGAATTCTGTCTGTCCTTGGAAGCCCATCTGGCCCTGAGTGTCCGTCTGACCTTGGATTCCTAAATAGGGCTGCTGAGCTTGGAATTCAGTCTGCCTTTGTTCCGTCTGTGCTTGGAATCCTGCATATAACTGCTGGGCTTCATATGTTTGGAACTCTAGGAGTGGGAGAGATCTGTTGCCTGGTCGAAGTGGGACTAGTGGATATACCTGGACTGGTAGACCTGAGCGTAGTCGATTTACTATCAGTGGATATTGCTCAATTGGTAGCTCTTCCAGAATTTCGTCGATTGGTTGATGTAGTAGGGTTGTTGGGAACTGTACTATACCACCGCTTAGGTCAGGGGACGTGTTGATGGGCGCATAAGAGTTCTCGAAATCTTTTGTCACCCGGTCCTCGTAAATCCCCATCTCCATTGGTATTTCGGGCCCATCACAGCGAGTAATTCCATTCTCGATTCTATACGGCTTTGTAATGAAGTCGGAGAATTGGAGGGGGGCTTCGCGTCGTTGGCCTACTACTTGACCTTGCTTAACTTTCCAGGAGATCATTGTGGTTCGTTTCCACCTGATCATACATTGGGTCCTAGAAAAACTTTTTTAGAAAATAGACGCAATAAGGAAGAGTAATTATAGAACGAGATGAAGTAAAAAGCAGGTGCTTTGTTTTAGAACTTACACGAAGTCGCGAGATCCCATTGGTTTAGCTTGCACCCCGGAATGCACCCCAGACATAATTTCGTAATTTCCACCATTCACAAACGTGCCCAAATCTTGAGGAGCTTTCCGTCTGAGGGTTTGAAGGTACTCCCTCACGGTACGCCTCTTCGCCGGTACGTCGAATTGAAGGGAGTGGAGAAGCGCGCCATGAAAATATGGAGTGCCGAGAGTAATTGATGATCCGAAATCGTCGTAGGTAGTTAGCAAATGGGAATTCATCCCCAGGAAAATTTTGTTTGTCTTGATTGGAAGACATCCGTTTGGCAGGCACCCGAGTTGTACCTCCGTCTCTACCTCTAGCGCTAACTCGGCATGTGGTTTATCGTATCCGGACTGAGTGAATATAACATGAATGTTGATAACATTTTGCGACAATAATTGGGATAATGGGCCGTGCTGCTCTGTGAGGTCAATATCCTTAAAGTTGGACGCGCAAACTAGGTCGGTGAGATCCGGGTTGGGGGATGCCATGGCTGCGATTTCAGGTTCCTGTGTCGAAGCTGGGTTGGGAGATAATTTCGATGGCCAATATGCGAGGTAGCGCTTGCGTATATATTTCGTCTCTTACCGGCTCAAAGAAGGGAACATGTACTTCCTACATATGTTTGAAAACTCTTAGACTTAGTTCTGAAAGTGTAGTGAATCACTTAACAGGTGATGATTTTCTAGGCAAAGAAGGGTACCTGTCTTCATTCATCGCAGGGGTTCTGACGGTAATCAAATAATCAGTGTCGTGGAGTGTGTACTTTTGTTGGCGAACATGGTTTGAAATGCGAAAGGGTAAAAGGGGGTTAAGGTGAAACCTTTTGCTCATTCACGTTACAATATCTGAATACGCAAGCGTCAATGAGCTTTGAAGGAAGTACAAAGGCCGTCGTTGGTATTTAGTGCTTTGGCCTTAGATTGAACATTCACATGAAGGATAAAGGGTACGAATTTGAACGGCCATTGGACGTAGGCGGTGGTGGTAATGACTTGATTGTGAAAGGGAGAGGTAGTATTAGATCAGAACGCTACTTATATCAAGAATAGTAGCTAGTGTGAAAACATAATAGTGATAACAGCATTTGGTCGCCTTCACCTCAGCTCTCACAACCCCCGGTAGTGTACTATAATAGGGAGATCCTAGGCGAACCGGTGATGCGGTCATGATAGACCTCTAGCATGAAGGAATGTCATGTAGGCGGCATCATTGATATATCCCTACCTACTATGGGGCGTGGAGACTTTTCTTGCTAGGGCTACATCTCAGTTTTTGTCATTGCAGTATTGCATAATAGAGACAAAATAATCTAAAACATAGATTTGGGCCCTTGCTGATAGCGCACACATAATTCCTTGCTAGCACCATCCTACCTTGTTTGAGGTCTATATTTGAGTATTTTACTGTAATCGGATTTTTCTGATTGTTGCATGCTAATTCTCTGTGCCCGTTTGGTCCATCAACAAACAATTGTTGACGCTATTTTATTCATTGTGTTGAGTTGTCCGGGCCCTGGCAGCTTCATTGTTGTTCTAAGATCCAAGGCTTTCTAACTCAGAAACCCAACTTTGACTTTTGTGGCTTGTTGAACTAGTACCAGCATGTGCCCCCTAGTTCTCATTTAGTAATTGAGCCTCTAAATATTAAAATATCGAGATCTTAGTGCTAGATAATGATAGATGTCTATGTTCTTAGGGTTGTAAAAGCTTTCCATGCATAGAAAATAGGCCAAAGTCCCTTTGTGCCAGTCAACACATCCTTATCCAGCTACTGTCCAGGTTTTTGAAGAGGACATGAGTCCCTCTCCCGCAGTAGGTGTTATGGCTCTCGGATGTGAGTTGGATATGCACGAAAGTCGGTATGGCATTTTCGTGACTGAAGTTCGCGACTGAAGCTTTGGGCAGCATGAGTGTGAATGATTTTCCTTGTCAGTGATTTAGAGACTCTTCTTCCTGGATATATCCCGATCTGTCAGATGAATGGTAATAGAGGCCAATCGTTTCCACCACTCGTATGTTCGAGCGTCGTGAAATAAGATAATCCGGAATTTGGTCACATTCATAGCGGAGGTTCCATACTTGCCTTAAGTGCTATTTGTTCGTGCCGTACATTTCCAGCTCTGAACCAGAACCGGAGTATGAAATGTGAAGAAGGAAAAAAGAGGATACGATCATTATCACTTTAACCTAAGGGATCTGAATTAGTAGAAGATCCTTAACGGCTCATCCTCAACGATTCCATCACAAGTAACAACATTGCTTGGCCAGGGTGTCAGACGACAATTAGGCCGATATTTGTCCTAGCAACTCATACCAAGTGGTGGTGATGTCTTTTCGATTGGGAAAGCCAAATTATCTACGAATCTTCAACATCGTCGAGTAAGATATGGTGGATCAATAAGCTTCTAGGATGGCTCGATAACGTCAAGGTTTCAAGTGCTACCACCGCCGTTGCCTCAGGTTTCATAGCACAGAGAGTATAGATTCAATCGATTCTAATTATTGACACGGCTTCAATATTGATGCTGGAGACTTATTTCCCTAATGGAACTTCGTAGTACAGTTGAGCTCTTTGCTAAATTACATGACCTATCCTTATCGAGATTTAATTATGATATGCTACTTGGAGCGTAGGGAAGCCGCATACCTCTGTACTGTTTGACTCGGGCAGCGTCGTCCACAAGGAATCCTGGCACCATCGGAATATCAACAGTCATTTCCAGGGTGCTTCCTTCAGTGAGTGAATGCGTATATCCCTTGGCGATAAACTTGTGGAATTGCAGTGGGAGGTTATCGCGTCTAAGAGTGTACGCCGACTTCACTTCCGAAGCATCCCAGCCCATTAATTGATGTTCATTAAGCCTGATTACCCATTGGGTCCTAGTTTCTAGTTAGCAGAAGCGGAAGATACAGGAAAGGATACCGAGAAAAATGATAAATAGTTTTCACGCTCTTGGACGCTAGATCTTTGATAAAACTTACACAATATCACGGCATCCCTCTGTCATTGGAGGGTTGCCAAATTTGCAAGAAACAAATACAGATAAATCTGCTTCTCCGGGGTTCCCTCTGAGCACCTTAATGAAATCACGAACCGGAGCATTCCTCTGCGATACATCAAATTGGAAAGAAGCGAAACATCTTCGATGGTGGTCGCTAAATGTTAGAGGGCGAAAAGTAACGGATGTCTCTTTGTTGTCTGAGCGGCTCGGGTTGGCACCGATGCTGCAGGATAGTATTGTTTTGGATTTGCCGTTGTCTTCAAGTAGGACTCCATTCTCAAGAACTAAGCGGAGTTCTGTATGAGGCCTTGAGCCTTCTCCTGGGGTGAACTCAACATATGTTTTTACTACTTTTTGAGCAAGAATCGGTTCTAGATCTTCGTAGTCAAAGACATTCATAAGCTTGCGATCCTCAATATGCTTAGGGTTCATTGTGTGGATGGATGTCGTTTTTGAGTCTTTCAGGAAGTAGTGGCTAAATTTGTTAGCTCTTTGGGGTCGCAGGTAGCGCATATATATGTCAAATCTTCACCAGTGATTCACTATTGAGGTCTATAGTATAGTCGTTCGTCTCGACTGAAGGCTACAAGTTGGCTAGTTACTGCTATGCTGGCATATTGAGGGCGGTGAAGGAACAGGCAATCAGAAACACTCACAAGAAAGGATCAGATGAAGTAACTTGGACTCACATCAAAAGTGGGAGGCAATAAGCAGAAATACTCTGAGCTAGCAAATTTATAAGGCGAGATCTAGATTACGCGACTAGGGCTCGCAGCCATCAAAGTTAACAAATAACATTCAGGACAGATTATCCACTGCCCTCGCGTCACTCCCTCGATTAAAATTTTTAAGTCGACTTTCGGAGCGATATGTGACTTGAAAGGTAGAGCTAGATCACAGTTTGTGCCGATTGAGTATCCTTAATGTGAGGGGGAGTTAAGACGCGAATTTCTTAAATCTCGTAATAATATATTGGTATCGCACCAGTCAATTCCTGGTAGAACCATGACTACAGCGGTATAGGGTAAGAATTACTAACAGGGTAGTTAACTTATTAACCTATTAATATAATATAGCTATAAAATCCCTTATCTTTCTATATTATATTTATAATCTATATTTTATTATACTACTACTAGATTAAATTAATAAATATTATAATTTTATTATAAATAGAATAAAAAAGAGTATATCTAATAAGAATATTCTTTATTTTCTTAATAAATTAATAGTTTCTTATAATAATATAGTAATTATAATTAGAATCTTTAAATAGTAATTAGTAAGATAGGAAATTATCTATATATTAAGCTAAATTAATAAATATTATAATTTTATATTAAATAAGATAAATAAAAGTATATTTAATAAGAATATTTTTTATTCTCTTAATAAATTAATAATTTCTTATAGTAATATAATAGTTTTAATTAAAACTCTTTAATAATAATTAGTAAAATAGAGAATTAATTATATAGTTATTTATATAGATATAATTTCTT